ATATTTATGGAGCTATCTGCTCTTGAACATCCAAATGATAATTAGCACACAGGCATCTATGTTTTGAAAGTATGTTTTAAAATCAGTTCCTTGGAAATAATAATGTATTTGCTTCTAGGAAAATATTTATGAATGATAATTAGATCTCCATGTCCATGCACAAAGGCATTCCACCTGAGATGACTTCAGATCAATACCAATATTAACAATAGTCTGTGTTCTCAACTCTAACAGTAGGAGCCACTTTTCAGAAAAAAAAGAAGGAAGGAGAGTTTTCTCATAGATGTCTGTGTTTTTTAAAAAAGTACAGTTTAACCAAACTCATTGTCATGTAGTTGATTTCAACTCATATTTGTATATCGGAACAGAATAGAACTGTCCCATATGGTTTGCAAGACTGTAAATCTTCATGGCTAGTGGATTTAAACTAGTAGTGTTTCCTTTAGTAATTTAATATTTAAGGCTATCTATGCACTACCAAGCAAAAGTACTTAGTGCTTGCCTAAGATAAAAGTTTGGATATTAGCATTCATTTGAATTTGCATACTTTTCGACTCTTTCTGCACCATGTTACTAATACTGATATTTCCAAGCTCCAGGTGTCTTTGCACTTTCCACATTTCAGTGTGCAATTCATGCTAGTCCAGCTCTGTTTCCAAGCTCTCCGGCTTCTGCATTGAGCAGTCATTATTCTCAAGGATTAGATTGTCTCAGCTAGATAAAGTGAAGGAGATTGGCGAAAGATATGGAAAGACTTTTCACAGAGAAGTCATTCAGATAGCCAATAGACACATGAATAAATTCTCCAAATCACTGGCAATAAGAGAGATATAAATAAAAATGGTAATGAGATACCATTTCACTCCAGTAGCAGCAGCAAAGTTTAATAGGAAAGAAAGCAATAAATGTTGGAGAGGATGTAGAGAGATAGAAAATTTCATAAACTGTTGGGACTGTAAAATTGTATAACCACTCTGGAAAGCAGCTTAGTGTTTCCTAAAAAAGCTGAACAAAGAAATTCCTATGACCCAGCTGTTGCACTGTTGCTATCATTGTTGTTGTTGTTAAGTACCATTGAGTCATAGACAACTCATAGATTTTCTTTAATTCCAGAGGCAAACTATTTGTGAAGTGTATGCCACTCATGCTTCCAAGCCTGTTTTAATCTGAATTTCCACCAAACACTGTCCACCATGGGTAACCATTATCACATTTGACATCTCAATGTCAAAGAGTTTAGCATCACAACAACCACAAGTTACCTCTGTAAAGCAAATTGACAGACCAGTACTACAACACTTAGAAGAATGTTTGACCAAAAACAATTAAAACTAGGCATGAGGGCCATAGATTAAAATCACCCACCTTTGGCTTGGCAGCATCACTTTCTATCCACTAGGCCAACAGACAACTGAGATATGAACAGAAATTTGAACACCAAAATTCACAACAGCATTATTCACAATTGCAAGAACATGGAAACAGACCAAATGTCCAGCCACATGTAATGGGTTGAGAAATTATGGTATTATGATGAAATATGAAATTATGATAGAATACTACACAGCACCCAGGAGCAATGACTTTGAAAAGGACTATGTAATTTGGGAAAGAGTGGAAAACATTGTGCTGAGTGAACTCAGTTTCATAAGGACAAATACTACATTATTGTAAAACTACAAGAGTAACTAGTAAAACATGTATGGAGATCCAAAGGGGAAAGGGAAGGGAGCAAAAGGGTGAGGATTGCCAGGGTGATCATCATAAGACTGCACAATTTGGTGGGTGCAGGGTGGGGTGGGTAAAGGATATGGGAAAGATCCAGCAGAGATTGGGAAAGACAGATAATGGGCACAGTTAAATGGTGATTAATTTTATAAAGCACAATGAATGGGAGTGATAGTATAAAACAATGTGAGTGAAGGATAGTGCGAAACACTATATGCAGACTGTACATACAAACCAGTATGAAGGAAATCAAACTATATATTACTACGTGAATGATTGAGAACTTCCCTGAAGTTTTCGTATTAAAATATCCAGTATTTTGAAAGCAAATAAATCCCTAAAATGGGAGTTTACCTTTGTTGTTGATGTTGATGTTGTTGTTGTTGTGTGCCACCGAGAGTCACCTGCAACTATAGCGACCCTATGTATAATGGTTCTGAAGCCTGTCCTATCTTGAGCCAGTCTCATTGAATTAAAAAAAAAATTTGAAGAACATCTTCTTGGTTGATGTGATTAATATAAACAATGTTGTTGTTGTATGCCGTTGAGTTGCCTGTGACTTATAGTGACACTATGATAACCCTAAACCCTGCTGTGTTCTGTGCCAATCTCACTATCTCTGACACACCTACTCCCATCACCCCAGGAAATGAATCAATCCATCTCATCAAGGGTCTTCCTCTCCTGCACTGCCCTCCGCCTTCCCAAGCATGACGTCTCTGTCCAAGGACTGGTCCCTTCTTGCAACATGTCCAAAATATGTCAGATGAAGCTTCAGAATCCTTGCCTCCAAGGAGCAGCTTGGTTTAACCCTCTTCAGAACAAACCTGTTTATTCTCTTAGCAGTCCATGATATGTTCAACACCCTTCTCCAACACCACAGCTCAAAAGCATTAACTCTCCTTCTATCATCCCTAGTCATTTTTCAGCTCTCTGATGCATAGCAAGTGATTGCAAAGACCATGGCCTGTATCAGGAACACCTTAATCTCCAGACACATCATTGCTCTTCAGTACTTTGGAGAAATCTCTGACAACAGACTTTCTCAAAGCAATATGTCTTTTAATTTCCTGGCTGTCAGTGCCAAAAATGTTGATTGTGGAGCCAAGCATTCTAAAGCTGCTTACAATCTCAATCTCGTCACCATTTATCACGATGTTTCCAATCAGCCCAGTGGTGACAATCTTTGTTTTCTTGATGTTGAGGTTCAATCCATATTGAAAGCTGCAGTCCATGACCTTCTGCAGCAAGCGCTTCAGGTCCTCCTCAGTTTCTGCTATCAGGTTGTGTCATCAGCACAGTGCAGGCTGTTAATGAGTCTTCCTCCAATCCTGATGCTACATTTCTCCTCATAGAGCCCAGCCTCCCAGATAATCCACTTTGAATATATATTGAAAAGGTATGGAAATAGGACAAATCCCTGGCATACACTCTTCCCAATTTTATACGATGCAGTGTTCCCTTGCTCAGTTCTGATGAATGACTCGTCGTCCAAGTATAGGTTTTGCATAGGCATGATCAAGTGTTCTGGGATTCCCATTCTTCTCAGAGAGAGCCATAGCTTGTTTTGGTCCACACAGTCAAACACCTTTGCCTAGTCAATGAAACACAGAAAGACAGTCCTCTGGTACTCCCTTCTTTCAGCCAAGATCCGTCTAACATTAGCTACAATTAGCTCCTTCTAAACCCAGCCTGCACTTCTGGCAGTTCTCTGTTGATGTGCTGTTTCAGTCATTTATTTTGTAATCTTCAGCAGAATCTCTTTTGCATGTGATATTTATTGCTTGGTAATTTTCACACTCTGTCGGATCACCTTTCTTTGAAATGGGAACAAATATAGATCTCTTCCAGTCATTTGATCAGATGTTTGTCCTCCAGATTAAATAATAATATAGGGGGAAATGGTGTCCTTATCTAAGCAGTGCCAAAGAAAAAAACACACAAACCATTGCAGTCTGGCCATTGTGAGTGTTTTACAAAATGAAACCAAAAAATTAAAGAATTTACTTAAAATATATCCAATAATTTATTGTTTCATATAGAAGAAATTAGAGTAGAAAAATAGTATGCTATGTCTAAGGATGAAAATTAAAATGATGCAGTGCAATATTAGATACAGCTATATTTTTAAAAGATTATACTTTAGCCATATATATTAACAGAAAACAAACTCCACCTCATTTATTTTCCTAAAAAGACAAAGAATATACAGTGTTCTTTTTTCCTGTATTGCCATGTTAGTCTAAACACTGACTTTTTTAGCCATTAATATTAGTCCCCTCTGGTCTCCAACTACCTTAATTGCAAATACACAGGCTTGTAAATCACCATGGTCTTGGAGATCAGCAACACCTGTGTGATTAGGGTAAGAGAAAAAAGTACTTCCTATACTGGGAAGAAAGCCTTGAGGGAGACTAAAAGAGCAAGGCCCTGGTGAGAATGAGCCACTGGTGGTGGAGAAACTGGCATTACTGTGGAGAAATTGAGGCAAAATAAAGACAGGAGCTCTGAGATGAAGGCCATAATTAAAGATTTTTGCTGTTCTTGCCTGATGCTTGAAGGAGAAGCTGACTTATAACTGAGGCAACCCTTATCAGATGAGTTCAGTTTGATGCTGAACTCAACCCAGAGCCTGGACTAATTGAAGAATTGTGCCTTGGAACTTGGGCTAACACCTGGACTCATATTGGATGATATTCTTTGCTTCCCCTCACTTTCCGATTTACTTCCCAAATAAATCCCATTCTCAGTACTACAACTGTGAGTCTGTGAGTCAACAATGAGTAAACTAACCTCTTGCTACATTTGTGTATCTCAAGGCAACATGGGGCTTGAGAAAAAGAGTTACAAGCTCTTTATCTGCTTTCTGCTCTGGGGTGGTGAGGGGCTGAGCTAGTCTAACTCACTCTGGCCCTTTCAGAGAGACATTCCTGACTTTGTACCCTTATGTCCAATTTCTTGCTCTTTAGACAGTTGGTATAGGTGGTGAGTGTGAAAGCAAATGGTATTTTATATTCTATTTTCCACCATGTATTTTTGGTGTATTTCCACCTGGAATTGTCTGTAACAGTTTTCTAGAAAGATTTGTACATATTCAAAATAAATAGGGAAAAATATGTGTTGAATAAAATATGAAGTTAAAAACCAACTAATTTCTTTAAATTCTGGGGATCATTTAATATAGAAATTTCTGTAGGCATTTGTTACAATTCAGAATTTACTATAAATTGAAGGCATCTTTTTTAACTAATCCTCATTTTCATCTCTTTTAGGGTCTACTTTCATTTGTAATACTCACGTAATTCCAGTGAAGAACCAAGAAGGTGTGGCTATGATGTTCATCATTAATTTTGAGTATGTGACAGATGAAGAAAATGCTGCCTCCCCAGAAAGGGTAAACCCAATATTGCCAGTCAAATCTGTAAATCGTAAGTAAAAGACAACTTTTACTTTTTATATTACGCTTCTGATATCATTCCTAATTGCTTTAAATTAATTAATTTTAAAAATTCACTTGTGTTTTAAGCAAAATTAGTTTCTATTAAAAAGTCATAGTTGGTATTGCCCTTTGATACCTCAGTTTATTTTTTTAATTTTTAATTGTGATCTGGATAAAAAATTACAGAATAAATTGGTTATTCGTTCAACAATTCACATGAACTTTGTTTTGTGGTATTGATACCAATTCTCAAGACAACAGTCTTATCAAGTCCCCACTGTGTTTGTCATTTCCATTAGTCCTTCTTTCTTATCCCTTCCTTCTCTCTGAGATTTTTCCTTGGGCAAATGCTGTCCTTTTGATCCTGCTTGCAATCAAGCAACATCTTAAGATGTGCATCTCTCCCAGGTGTTATTGTTCCGTCTCTAAGCTTATCTGTGGTTTGCCAGAAAGTTGAGATTTAGGAGCAAGTTTATTTTCAGGCTTGAAGTTGTTGTTGTGTGCCATTGAGTTGGAACCACTGACAGTTGACCCTCCAGCAGGTTTTCAGTGGCATTTCATTGCATGGGAGAAGAATTGTCCATCCCTCTCCGTGGAGTAGATAGTGGATTTGAACTGTACACCTTTGGGGTTTCAACATAGCTTCTTACTATGACCACCAGAGTTCCTCTAGGAACCGTAGCTGACCCTGTGTTAGGGTTTCAAAGACAGTAAATTTCACTAAAGGGGATTGCCCATCATGCTCCCTTGCAGTAGCTGGTGGATTTGAACTGTGTGCCTTCAGTAGTGCAGCATAGATTCTTACCACAAGAGTTAGTATTATTAAGTGCTGATGAGTCATAGACTACTCATGATCTTATTGCTGTTGAGTGCCATTGAGTCATAGACGACTCAGCGACCCTAAGAACGAAAGACCTGAACACTTGTGTAACTTTCATCCTCTCTCCAGGTTTATAGGGTTTCCAGGAGAGGCAAGCTATTTCGGAAGTGGATGCCACTCCTTCCAAGATTGTTTTACTCAGGGAGCTCCACCAAACACTGTCCACCATGGGTTACCATTATCGCATTTGACACATCAGTATCCCAGTGCTCAGCATCACAGCAACCACGAGTTACCTTTGTACAGCAAACAGACAGACCAATTCTATACCACTTTAGAAGAATGTTTGCCCAAAAACAATTAACACCAGACCAGAGCTCTCTCTATGTTGTTGTTATTGTTGTTGTTGTTGTTGTTCTTGTTGTCATGTGCCATTATAATTATGCTGTTGTTGTTGTTGTTATGTGCCATCGAGTCGAGTCACCTGCAACTCATAGCGACCCTAGTTCAACAGCCCTAAACCCTGCTCTATCCTGTGCCAATTTCACTATCTCTGACACACCTACCCCCATTACTCCAATCACTGAATCAGTCCATCTCGAGGGACTTTCTTTCCTGCACTATTCTTCCACCCTCCCAAGTATGATGTCCCTCTCCTGGGACTGGTTCCTCCTTGCAACACGTCCAAAATATGTCAGATGAAGCCTCAGAATCCTTGCCTCCAAGGAGAAGCCTGGCTTCACCCTCTTCAGGACTGATCTGTTTGTTGTCTTAGCAGTGCACAGTATATTCAGTACTCTTCTCCAGCACCACAGCTCAAAGGCAGCAATTCTCCTTCTTTCATCCCTAGTCATTGTCTATCTCTCTGATGCATAGCACGTAATTGCAAAGACCATGGACTGTATCAGGTGCACCTAAGTCTCCATATATAATATTATTTATTATTAACATATATTATCTACATATATACGTGTGTGTGTGTTTGTGTGTGTGTGTATTATATATAAAATGCTGAATGTTGTTCCCCTTATTTCTCTCACTGTGTCCAGAATCTCCTATTTTGGTCACTCTCAGAACTATGGCAGTGACAGCAGAGTACAATCTAGTTATTCTGTACTGTTGATAATGGAGGCTGGGATTCATGGATCCGTTAGTCCTTTGGGCTAATTGTTTTTATACACCTTTACATTTCTTCTCAATTCTTTGTTTTGGACAGGGAGAGACCGATGTTTTACCTTGCATGGCTTCTGGAAAGCTTTTAAAACCCCAATTGCTGCTTACCAAATCAAGAAGTAGAACATTATTTCTGCTCTACTGTTTGTTATATCAATTGATTTTGTCATCTTCTGAGACTATGGTTCTTAGCTCTTAGACCCATTCAGTGTGTCAAAGTGTTTTGTTGTGGTTAAGAAGATCTCAAAGTATTATCACCTGTGTGTTTTTACTATATTCATGGCACATATACTTACGTTGAGATACCTTCCATAACACATACACATACGCACACATATAGCATGTATGTATAGATAAATAGATATAAATAGATATTAGTGTGTTTCTTATATATGCCTTTCCTCACTTCTTCACCTTGTGTATCATTCAGTAGATAATTTTTATCACTATTTTTTCAAGATTATGAATGTAATGGCTTTCCCCCTTGCTGTCTTTAAGTCTTGTGCTCTTCCTCAAACCTTCCTTTACCTGGACCATTTTGTACTGACCTGTACCTTCTTGCCTTTCCCTTCATCCAAGCTAATGTGTGTCTGCCATCTATGTAGTGATTTGTCCTTTTTTATACTCTTAACTTTCAAAGAATATTTCTTTTAGTGTGTAAACCTTTTCTTGGCTTTTTTTATAGTGGTGGTCTTATATATTATTTGCCCTTAAGTTATTGACTTGATTCACTCAGCAGTATGGCCTCCAGGTTCATCTATGTTATAAGGTGTTTTGACAGACTCGTCTTTATTCCTTTACATTGTGTAGCATTCAGTTATGTGTAGGTACCACGATTGTTTATCCTCTCATCTGCTGATGGGCACTGAGGGGTTTGGTTTTTAGTGTTTTGTTTGTTTGTTTTAGCTATTTTGAATAATGTTGCAATGAACATAGGTTTGCATACATCGTTTTGTGTCATGACTCATATTTCTGTAGGATGTATGTCTAGTAGTAAGATTACTTGATCATATGGCATTTCTATTTCCATCTTTTTTAAGAAAATACTATCCTATTTCCCATAATGGCTGTGCCTTGTAGTGTATGAGGATTCCAATATCTCCATTACCCTCTCAAGCATTATGGTTTCCTGGATTTTTAGTGGTGGTTATTTTTTCTTTTGGTTTTGAATTTTGCCAAAAACATCAGGATGTGATGAGATCTATTTTTTTGCTTTTATTTGCAACCCTCTGAAATTTGAAGAACAGGTGCTTGGCAGACTGACTGGAAGAGGTCCATATTTGTTCCCCTTGCCAAGAAAGGTGATCTATAGAATGTGCAAATTATCAAACAGTATCACACAAATTGTCATTAATCATGCAAGCAAAATACTGCTGAAGATCATTCTAAAGCTGATAGAAAAGTCATAGATGGGAAACTTCCAGACATTTAAGCTACATGTAGAAGAGGCTGTGACACCAGGCATATCATTGCTGATGCCAGATGGATCCTGGCTGAAAGCAAGGGATACCAGAAGAATAACTATTTGTGCTACTTTGACTGTGCAAAGGCATTTGATTGTGTGGATCATAACAAATTATAATTAACATTGAAAAAAAAGAGTCCCAAAACAATTAATTGTGCTCATGAAAAACCTATACCGAGATCAAGAGTCTATTGTGTATACAGAACAAGGAAACATTGCATGGTTAAAATTAGGAAAGGTGTGTGTTAGGGTGTTTCTTTTCTCCATATATATTTAATGTATATGCTGGGCAAATTACTTGCAAAGCTGAATTCTATTATGAAGAATGTGGCATCAGGATTGGAGGAAGATTCATCAATAACCTTCATTATGCAGACAGCACAAACTTGCTTGCTGAAAGTTAAAAGGACTTGAAACATTTGCTGCAAAAGCTTAAACATTGCAGCCTTCAATATTTATTTCATCTCCATATAAATAAAACAAAAATTCTCAGCCACTGGACTGATAGGTAACATCGTGATAGATGCATCATCATAATGCTTTCAATGACTTCATCCAACCTGGACCCACCATCAATACACTTGGTACCAGCAGTCAGATCTATTGCACTGGGAAAGTCTTCAACCAAAGATCTCTTCAGATTATTGAGGAACAATGATGTCAGCTTGAGGACGAAGGTACACCTCATTCAGGACATAGTCTTTTCAGTTACTTGCTAAGCATCTGAGAGCTGATAATGGACAATGGTGACAGAAAAAGAATGATGCCTTTGAACTGTGGTTTGAGAGAAGAGTGCTGAATATTTTATGGGCTGTCAAAGAACAAATAAATATGCCTTGTAGAAGATGCAGCCAGAGTGTTCCTTGGAGGCAAGGATAGTGAAGCTTCATCTCATGTATTTTGAGCATGTTACTAGGAGAGGTTATTCCTTGGAGAAGGGCATCATGATTGGAAAAGGAGAGGGATGGTGAAGAAAAAGAAGACCCTCAACCAAGGGAATTGACATAATGACAGCAGCAGTGGGCTCAAGAGTGCCAGAGATTATGAGGATGGCACAGGATAGGACAGAGTTCAAGTCAACCCATAAGGTTGCTATGAGTTGTACTAGACTCCCCAGGACCTAAACATATCAACAATGAGCAATGAGTAATGAACCTCACTATGTGCTGGTTGGCTTAAAAAAAAAATAATAATAATTTTGTGTGTGTGTGTGTGTGTGTGTGTGTGTAATCTGTAGAGAAGGATTTGTTTAAGTCTACGGCCCAATTTTTGATTGGATTGTTTGTTTTCTCTTGTTGAAGTGTTTAAGCTAAGTTTAAAGTGTTAAAGAACAAAAATGTAACTTTGGGCACTAAGGTATGTTGTATTTTGGGGACAAAATATACAGTATAAACTTGAGTTTCTCTTTTTAAATGGCTCACCAAGCATTCTAAAATAATTTACTAAAGAGCCTAAGTTTTCACACTAATTTGAAATGCCATCTTTTTACATACTAAATTTTCTTATGTATTTGAGTCAATTTCTGGGTTTTCTTT